GTATAGCATAGTATAGCATAGTGTAGTATAGCAAGCCAACATGTCTGATACAGATCTGATTTCGAAGACCGAAACCCAACGGCTGACAGTGCTGTCTTGAGCGCCCGACTCTGCACCCTCCTAGCTAAACTCCAAACCCTATATAAGGGTTTAGGGGTTTGAGTTTAGGGTTTAGGGGTTTTGGGTTTAGGGCTTACCTATGCGCTCTGAACTAGCTTTTTGGGATCATCGTTGGCTGCTCGATTCGCCTGCGGCGCCATGGACAGGTGGACCATGACCTCAACTTTTGGGTTTGGGGCTCAGGGTTTGGGGTTGAAATTTAGCTTCCTTGTTACTATAATTACAAGGGCTGGAACGGTTAGAATAGAGTTTTGGTGAATGCCATAGTCAAACATATATATATATATTGATTGCATGTACAGTGATATATAATATATATATATATACATACATATATATATATGTGGACGATAAGCGGTTCTGACTTCTGCTGGTTCAGTCCTCTATACTACACCCCGCCTTCTGATGCTTGGCTTTGGCCCTGAACCAAACCCTAAACCCTAAACTCAAGACTAAGAGGCTTGCATCGGTCTGTTCCCCATCTCAAAACCCTGAGCCCTGTTTCAGGGTTTAGGGCTTAAAGGACACTCCTTCGTTTCATCGTTGAGGGCACCTTTGAAAAGCAATCTATACGGTTCCTTGAAGAGTTCCTCTAAAAGGGCAGAACTCCCCAAGATGTCCCGGCAAGTCGCAGTCCCAAGTCCTAATGTGGGGGGTTGGGACAGAATATATTATAACAGCAAAGTTACAACAAGGAGCCCTGCGAAAAAAAAAGAGGGTAATTACACAGTCTTCTATATATTAAGAGCAACACCCCTAACTAAGCCACGAATCCTGAACCCCGGAAGTGCGCAAACCCGAAGCCAAGTATCCTCCAATGAGCACATCTTCCGGAAAGAAGTCCGTCTTGGGTGTAGGGTTTTACGGCTCTACTCTACCTACCATAATATTCTGTCATCGCTTTCTCCCTCTTTCTGGCGGGATGCCGAGCATGCAGCTGCACATTTTCTGTGCGCAAGATCGAAGTCTTACCACATCGCAGTGGACCTACCTCGATTCTACAAAACCTATCTTGTTAAGGACGTAAACAAGGAAATCATACTTAAGGAGCCCCTAAAGAGGTAGGTTATATAGGTTTTAGGTAGGCCGACCCTTTCACAAAGATCTTCAGCACATAGGACTACGAAGGATCGTAAAGCCGAGGCTATCCCCTAAAACCTGCAGCTGCATTTTCTCGAGGGAGCTGGCGCCTCTCTGCGATAGCTGCCCATTAGCTGCTTTAACCGGTCCAAGCATAGGCTCTTAGCAGATAAGTGGGCCCCCAAAGTATAGGGTTTTTGCTATTACTTGGATCCTTTGGATGTCTAAAGGCATGCGCAGCAGAGTGCGGAGTATAGAGCTCGCGAGGATTTCGGGCTTATTAGGGCTTAAAGGGTCTGCGTTTTAGGTTTTGACAGTTCCGAGATCAACCCTCCCAAGTGCCAAAGCCCGGTCAGCAAGTCTACGCAAGTATAAATAAGCATGTGATTCTAAACCCGAAAACCGCAAGTGCAAGCATACTTAAGCATGATTCTAAACCCTAAAAGCCCTAAAACCCGGATGATTCGTCGAACACCAGATCGGTCGCTTCCAAACTCTAACTAGACCTACACTTCTAAGTGCAAAACACAACCAAACCTGAACCCAAACCGTACACTTTTGAACCCTATACACACCTGTCATAAACCTAAGCCCTAAACCCTACACTCCCCAACCTTCTAGCCCAAACCCTTAAACCTCTGCACCCTATCCAAAGGAATCCTTATAGATCCCTTTAAAGGAACCTCTAAACCCTATCTACACTTCCCAACCCTAAGAACCCTCCCTCGGAATCTCAGAGGTAAAGGTTTTCCGCACTGAGCACGTGCAGAAGCAGCTCAGGCTTAGAGTAGAAGAGCTGGCCGACGCCATACCTCGGCGGACAAAATATGGTGCCTTTGTTCGTGCGGTTTTTGGGGTTTGGGGTTTGGGGGTTTAGGGTTTAAGGCTTGAGCTTCGGGTAGAGTTTGGGGATTCAGGCGTATATCTTGGTTGACGGAACAAGGGATTTTAGGGTTGAAGCTTGGGCTTGTCTGAGAGTTTGGGGTTTAAGGTGTATATATATATATATGACTGCTGAAACAAGCTTAGGGTTGTAGCGTTGTCGGCTGACAAAAAAAAGCATTTTAGGTTTAAGTTTAGGTAGGGGTTTCGGCTCAGGGATTTTAGGGTTTACGTTCAGGGTTTTCAAGAGGGGCTTTCGGTGTTAGGCTAAACGGGTTTAGGGTTTAAGAGGTTTGTAGGGGCTAAGTTTAAGGTTTACACACGGATTTTCGACCTTAGTTCGTTCAAGGGGTTGTGGGATTTAGGGGTAAACGTATCGGGATAATTTAAGCAACCCCTAAACTCTCTTGGGAAACATGCGAAATGACTTGCTTTCTTCAGGACTTCGCCCAGAAGGCTCGAGGTCTAAAGGGCTTAGAGGTTTAGGAGGAGGGTTTGAAAGGTTTAGGAGTTTATGGTTTCAAGGTTTAGGAGTTTATGGTTCAGGGTTTAGGAGTTTTGGGTTCAGGGGTTTTTCAATGCCAGTGGTGATTGCAGCAGCGGGCCCCTGAACCCATAACGCATATGTATGTATATATATATATATATGTATTCCAAGCAACCTCAGCAGCTGCAACCAAGAAGCGTGGCTAGCATGGCCACGAAATGGTTGCTCCACGAGCCTTCGATGCACTTTGTCAAGAACCACCTTGGCAGCCAAGTTATTTTTTGCTTCAGGCAATCATTTCATAGATTATGAGGCTCTTGGACCTAAACCAGTGAATGTCAAGCATTCGGCACGACACGCTGCAAGGCAGCTCTGACAGTGCTCAAGTGGGGGTTTCCGAAAATAGGGGGCCCTAATATAGCACCTGAAATAGTAGGATCCCTATTATAAGGACCCCCAAATAAGGTACCCTAATTTTCGGAAACTCCCAAGTCAGGCTTTAGGACTTCGGTTCGAGATCTGCTCGAAGCACCCCCCCGGCCCTCGTGTTTGGCGTAGTGTCAGCACGTGCTGACTGTTTAACCCAGAGGCTCATGACTTTGTTGCTCATCTTCAAGGTGCGATGCTCAAAGAGAGTACTGAGTGTGTGCGGAGGCTTCATAAGCCCTGAATCTAGCCCAGACCTTTAACCTCGAGGTTGTTATTATAGCTTCAGCGGCAAAAAGCACAGACCGAACACGCGAACCCCTCCTTGAAACCTATGCTCCTGGCTACGTAAGCCGACTCTGCAAAAATGGGTGTTCGTGAGGTCTTACAGGATATTTTGCAACATGGTTTGTAAAAGGCTTTCATAAAGGATTCCAAACGTTGCTATACGGGTTCTATAAGGGCTACGATACAGAGGCCTTGGCTCAGCGCTTTGGGGCCACATGATGTATACACATACACGGACTACAAAGGGGGCGTTGATGATACTCATTCTTCACACTTCTATATGACAGCCCCAGCTCCTCTGATCAACTCTCCCCTGAGCGGTGTCGAGTCTATTCACAGTGAGCGCTCCGGCGGGCCGGGGGACCGGTTTGGAAGCAACTCCGTCGTCCTCCCTCAACCCTACACTAGTCATTCCGAAACCCTAAACCCTAAACCCTACATTACACAAAAAGGTCATGCGGGCCCGGCCACAGGAGCAGAAAACAAAGAGACGAGTGGAAGAGACCTGGAGCGCTCCAGATGTAGCCTTGGCTTCAGGGCTTAGGGTGTAGGGTTGAGGTTTCAACGGATCAGGTGATGGAAAAACACTACCACATATCCTGTGACTATGTACCCATGTCCGTGGGCTTGTGCACATGCATTCTGTATACATGCATGCATGTGTGTCACCAGCGAGCCTCCCTCTCTCCGTCCCCCTCCTCTCTCCCTCCCTCCCTCCCTCCCTCCCTCCCTCGCAGGTACAACAGTACCCAATGCTCTGCGAAAAAGAAATGCCAAGCGCATGAAAACAAGTGTCGCAATTTCGGAAGTCCTAACTCACCAACCACCTTGCAAGTGTTCGTGGAACTTTGGATCTTTTAGATTTAGCTGCTTGTATTGGTTTTGAAGCGTTGGAGCTTCTTGAAAGTTCGGAACTACAAGATTTGCATGCATGTGGAAAGGGTTCTGCACGTTGTCTGCCTGCACTTTGTGTTTTCAGGAACACTTGCCTTGTTCGAGTTTTGGGTGTTGTTGGATTTGTCGGTGTGTTCTTTGCAGTTCGGGATGATTGAAGCTTCCGCGGATATTGAATGGGCACCGATGTGCTGTTCATATACATCTGCATATGTTTGGGATGTACATTAGGTTACATGTTCAAGGGTACGTACTACACATACCGCCACTGAGTCATAACAGCATAAAGAACAGCCCTTCTTCTCCCCATGAAGGCTACACGCAGCCCCAAACCCTAATCCCTAAAAGCACAATGTCAGGTGCACCGAGAACCTTCAGACCAAGATACCAAGACCACAGCCCGACAGAAGAACAGCCAGCGCCACAATCTTCAGGGAGGGCTTAGGGCTTAGGGTTTAGGTTCTTTTTTTTAGGGTGATTACGGTTAATGGCAGGGCTTACATGCCACATACAACTGGGATGTAGGGTATCGGTATGGGGTCAGGGTCCAGGACTGCTGGCTTGCAAGCTATTTTCTGGATTCTCGGATGGAGGCTGTAGGCTCCAGGGCTAGTGTAGGGCCTTCATGATTACAGTGTGGGGTTTGGGGGTAGGTTCTACTGCAGTTCTTCTTGGGATACTCTTGCTAGGGTTTAGGGGGACTCTATGCCCCAAAAACAAATTAGACTGGTCTCTTGAAGCCTGATTACATAGTAGTAGTAGTATCTTTGGGCCTCTGGGGGTTCAGCTACCTTTCGTGCTTCTCTTCGGCATGAGGGTTCATGCTTTTTTGGCACTTTTGGAGGAGTCTAGGGCTTTGATGTATATGCTTGTAAGACTTGATACCCGATATCGGTTTTTTTCGAACATGCAGGCCGGGGTGCACGAATGGTTCCTGGGCCGAACCGAAACAAATGTTCAGTGAAAAATATCTATACGTAATTCTTGCAGAAAACTTGAGTGTTGAGGAGAAAAAGCCTGCCTTTGTCCGGAGCCAGGGCAAATTTTCAGCGAAAGTTATCTACATCTATAGTCTATATATATATATAAACCCTATAAACCCTAAAACCTAAACTCTCTTAGGAACCCATGTCAGTGGAATCCTGGCGCTTCACGTAGCTCTCGGACATGCCCAGTGCCAGCACCAGCACCGCCAGGAAGAGTGCGAAATGGCCGCAACAGCTAGCTCCCAGCCTTAGTGGGTCTTGAGGGTTTAGGGTTGAGGGTTTCGGATTCCGGGTTTGGGGCTCAGAGTTTAGGGTTGGGATTCGCAAGACTGTACACTGCTGATTATCAGGAGTATACCCCTCCAACACTCTGTTGTTGCTGGTTTTGGCCACCGTCGAATGACCAGATATGAGACCCAATTATCTATACCAGTTATCTATACCCAGTTGATTCCGAAACGACTAACCAAAACTCGGGCCCTAAATTACATCCTAAACCTGCTTGACTGACAGCACGCTGTAGGGTTGCAACTGCTGCTTGCAGCCGTTAGCCGGGACGAGGGGAGCCCAGGTATTCAAAGAGCCACGGTCTAGGGTTTAGGAATTGGGGTTAGGGTTGAGGGTTGTGATTTCCTCTCGGCGGAAGAAAAAACTACCAGCCCTCAACCCAAGAACCTAAAACGCAAACTTCGCAAGTTTCCAAAACCCTAAGCCCTCATCCTTGAAACTTCGTACGCTCTAAACGCAAACAAACGCCCTCAAAGTCCAAACCATAAATCCTAAACCCTAAACCCTGAAAAAACCCAAATCCCAGACCGTTCGACCTCAGGACAAGAAGGAATGAAGCGACCTTAAGATTTTCGGGTCTCTCTCGGGCTATTTATAGGGGCCTTAATAAGATGAGTAGAGTTCCTTTCAAGGGTTCTCGGTTTAGGGTTTAGGGTTTGGGATCTTGTAAAGGTTCAGTATTGCGGCCTCATAAACAGGAAAGGCCTTAATTCTGGCGTAATTGCATAAGGACTTTAAGGAGATAGAAGCGGCAACTACTCCGACCCTCTGTTTATAAAACTAGCTATTCGTGAACCTTAGACCCTAATAAAACTTGAGCTCTCTCTAAACCGACCCCCGAATCTCTATACCCTACACACCGAGACCTCAACACCGAAGCATTGAGCCCCTGAGTATGTCGTCATTAATTTCATAAGGACTGCAAGGGAATACGATTTCCAATTGCTCGTGCTTCTATATTTGCTTCGACGTAAGAAGTGCAGCGGCATTAAAGAAACAGAAGCTTTGTGCTGCGGATAAATATGGTCTTGCAAACGCAGGACGTCGCGGCAGAAAGGAACTCCCATCCATGGACCAAAACATGTATCTTTCATTATCGAAATGCCGTTAATGACACTTGTTCCTAATTAACTAATTTAGTTTGATAAAGATGCAAACTTGCTGTTTCAATTGATCTTTGAGGTGAATACTGCTGCCGAACGAGGAGCGCAAAAGCCTCGAGCCAGCTCCGCAGCAGTTGACAGACAAGGAAGATCACCGCTGCGGCTGCAGCAACGGGGCTAGCTATCTGCCGTAGACCTGCGGCTTTAACGTCCAAGGCTTTTCCCAGAAACCCTTACCCCCAAAACCTAGAACCCAAATCCGAAAGTTTCTAAAACCCTAGATCCCAAACCATGGGAACCTCATATAGCCATTTCTTCGAGGTTTTGGAGAGTTTAGGGCTTGAGGCTTTAGCTCTTTTTGGGATAGAGTGAGGCTAGATGTTCACGGATTTCGATGCCAACCCCGATGATGAAAGCCTCGAAGCAGAGAACCGGGAAAAGCCAATCTTCGTCCGGCAAGCCACCAACCGGCCTTCCAAACAAAACCTTGCAACCGACTCCCCGCATCTTGAAGAGTAGATGCCTTGTCAATCCATATATACTATAGACTCGTTATCACTCCGGATTTACGAGGGGTCTGTAGGGACTAGATATGGGGTCTATAGTCCCAGATTTTGGTTGGGGCAGAGACACCACCGAGACACCTACCTTAAAGTCTTTCCGGCACATAACTGCAGACTGCAGCCAATGCCTTTCGGGGGATAGTACATGCGGGGGACACTAAGTACTGTCGAATCGCCCTCCGAATACCCTCGCCGCCATCGGACAGTGGCTTGGGTTCAAGACATAAGGTACAGCAGTCAGCCGGCATCAAAGCCCTAGCGAACACCGCCCCCAAGCCCCTTTGGTGCCACTTCAATGATAAAAAGCTTCGATGACATGCAAGCCTACATGAGTACTCCATATTAGTGGAATGCCATCATCAGCCAATAGAGAATAATAAGTTCACACTCCTGGCACCCACCACCCTCAACCCACAAAAACCCTGACCCACCCGTAGCTTCCTCAAAATCACGCCTCGAATTGAACCCAGGAAGTGTGGAGCAATTTATCATGCATAGAGCCCCGGCTACAACCCTACTAAGCCGCAACGCAAAAACGTCCGTTAAAGCTCGGACCCGACAAGTCCTTAGACTGGAGGTCGAAAAGAGCCTTTTCCGGTACATACCGAAGCACTAGTGTGGGGGGGCCTTCATAATTGGACTAGGGCTTGGGGGAGCTTATTATACTATTATATTTATAATAAGGAACCCTAAGA